GCTGCTGATCATTTTGCCCATACACGATGTGGTACAACCTATCCTAGCACGAGTATAGTATATTCGGTTGGACAAAAGTCTTCAAACGAAATCTTCCATCATTCTTATATAACAAGCGATCTGTTTGGAAAATCCAACACTGAGTACAGTCGATTCCTAATCGCTTCGATTATCATGCCTTTATCCGCAAGCAGCTAAAGATGTATAACTAGCCCTTCCTCATTTCTATGATTCTATGCATGTGCATGAATATCTTGAAACACTTCTCAGTTCTGAAAAACACTGTTTTTCCGTCAAAACTTTGAATAGGCAGGTCAGAAACAGGTTGGCACAATGTGTCCATGATCATTAGGCTGCATTCGTACATGTGCATATCTTGCGGGACGAAACCAAGTTTAAGCTTAACAACGCTCCAAACGATCCAAGTGCATTACAGAAAAAAAGTTTTACGGAACTGAAAACTCTAATTCAGGCAAACCTTATCCAAGAACCACTAGCGAAATGTGTGCGACTGAGGGGAACACAGATACATATCACAGATGTACAGGTTCACCGAAGTTGCGACCCATTCTGAACAGGATCAAATTACCCGTCAACATGCATTAGAAAGGTGATTAGCTGAAGTTCTGGTACCAGTGAGAGATTCAACTGTTCGGCATAATGCCACGGATAGCTCTGAGATTAGTAAACGTCTGCACCGTAGATCCATATTCAACAGAGACAATGAATGTGGAATCTGTTCGCAAATGTTCCACCTCATAAGACCATTGGGATTTGTTGTGAAACAATTGAGGAAAAGAAATTGCAGATCTATCACTGCGGAAGGGAGATTTTCCTTTCTTGGACAAAGATATCAGCATGTATAGATTGGATCTCCATGGACAGTCTGATGGGACCGAATCTTTTAGATATTTCAAAATAGATCTATATAATGTCGTTATGTTAATGGCAGCTTCCTTGTAATCCATTTTTTACGTTGCGTCAGGCCCTCGAGCTGTGTCATATCCACTGTCGGCCAACGATTGAAGTGATCCTTGACCTGAAACGAGCCTTCGACTCAACTGACCGCGAAGCTCTGATGGGCACCCTTCGAATGCTGCAGGACTGGGTTTCCTCTTCTCCCATTCTGAAACTAAGTCGTCAGGATTCAGTTGTTGTGGATTATTTTTCCTACTTAGGTAGTTGCGTGACCAATGACGGTAACGCAGCAAAAGAGATAACCGCCCACATTTCCAAGGCTCGAGCAGGATACGCAGGACTGAAACACCTTTGGCGTAGACGCGATGTTTCATTGAAGTTGAAAGGTCGTGTATATTGTGTCGGCGTTCGTTCAGTCCTGATTTATAATAGTGAGACCTTGAATTTGCCAGTAGAATATATCCGTTGACTAGAAGTTTTCGATTATTGGTATTTACGCAGTTTAGCCCAAGTGGAATGGAGCGAACTGATTAATAACGTGGAGGGAAACTGTCGTGTGTTTGGGAGTCTGTCAGGTATAAACCTGCTAGCACACCGAATTCAGATTACTAGGCTTCTCTGGCTAGGGCATATATTGCGTACGCTCAGCCATCGTCTACCGCACCGCTCTTTATTCGCTGTGGCCAATCCGGGTTGGAGGAAACCACGCGGAGGTCAACAGATGACGTGGAGATGAAACATGAAGAAATGCACAGAGCCATTAGGTAGAGTAAGTATCTCTCGCCTTCCAGGTTGGGGTCCGAAAGTTTCCACAACTGGTTGGTTGGAGACATTCAAGGATATGGCAGCGAATCGGCGGCAGTGGCGTTCTTGTCGTTTCTTATCAGATCAGAATGTTTGAAACAGTATGTATGCGGAGTTCGATTGCGTACTCTGTGTGCTGACCATAGCGGCTCACCTTCTTCTCCATTCCTCAAAAAAGATCCAATCCCTGTCCACCTTAAATTTTACCACTAATCTTGTATGCGTTGCGAGTTTGGCAGCGTTCAGTGAAGTTCGCTTAAATGTACTTCGCCGTACGATGATGATGATGATGATGGTTTGTTTGGAATCAGGGTTTTTGGCCAACTCCCCTAGGTGAGCTGCCAGTGGTCCACCGACTCGGTTATAGCCCCGGATGTCGGCTTTTTGTCCTCTCACTTCGGTGGGAAAACGCCTCCTCCACGAGAAGGCAGTGACTACGGCTTCCTCAGCAGAATTGGCTATCTGAGACGCTTGGTCGTATGGGAGCATTTGGCAAAGTGCAAGAGAAGAGTAACCAGCCGCAACCCTAGACACGCACCCCCGACCATGCTGAGGATTCTGGAGGCTTACTATATACATACAATACCGGCGTACAGCAAATCAGTCTATTTTCATGCACTTTTGCTTGAACAAATGTCCACATTTCAGTCAAAAATTACGCATCTCATCCGAAGAATGAAATAATATGAGTGAAACATCTAATCTCCAAGGTGTGTTGAGAAATTTTAGAAGAAACGCTCTGTCGATTTACAAGGATTCCGGTGAGATAGGGAACTGGGAAATTTCTGTAGAGGTTTATGCGAGAGGGTAAGCATATGATAAGCAGAACGCGTAGATAAGCAGCATTTGAATAGATCGCCATGCAAAGGATGAGTGGGGTCAGAGAGGATTTTCTGCGCAAATTTTTCACATGCTGATAAGTGAAGTTCACACAATTTTTTAGATAGACCATCAACGGGTATAAAAGACACATGACTGATGATCGAAAAATCACGACGAAGGATTTTGAACTCTTTCTTGAGTAGATCAGCAAAAACGACCGGGGAACAATAAAGAATAACAGGAAAAACACATTAATAAACAAAAAGTGAAATGATTTTCTGTTTGGCTTTTAAACAGCCTGAGTCTTCACAGTTGAAAAGATGATCCACAAGGTTTCTGTACAGCGGTGTAACTATGGGATGTGGAATGGAAGACGAGGAACACCTATTCCACTGACATCGCCCCATTCACCCCAGCTAACATCCAGCTATCTCGTTACGATGAACGGGACGACTGCATCGAGTTTCTAGTTATCAACATTCCTCATCGACCGAATGGAGCAATTAAAAGATCTGCCTTCCGAAAGAACACCTGGTCTGGACAATATTTGCATTTCAAGAGCTTCGTCCCCGTGTGATACAAAATTGAGCTCATTCGCACTCTATTTCATCGAGCACGTGAACTCTGCTCAATGGACTCTTTGAACGACGAAAAAGAAGTACTACACGCAAACGGATATCCATTTGCATTCATCGCCAAACACTGAAAAGTAACACCAGAAGCAGACAAAAACAATCTGTTCCGAAAATGAAAGCTTTTTTGGAGTCATCGTACAAAGGTGATGACATGAATGAATTAGACAACAAGCGATTGAACTCTGCAGTCAATCGCGTCCATTACGCCTTTGACCCGGTCAGTGTCTTCACTACCACCGGGACACCGTCGATATCAATGAGGGAACCATTGCCCGCCACCTCCGCCAGATCAAACTGCATCTACCAATTATTGTGTGGATAGTAGGTCATCTGTATAGGCAACACAGAGAGTCAGTTACGTCATCAAATGGCTGAACATATCCCGGTGTGGTTCAGCGATGGACGATAAGTTACGTCATTGAATGAGCAGAAAAGGACTTCGACAACGCTTATTCGAATAAAAGCATTGAGTCATTCCAACCCACGCATTTCAGGTCATCTACAACACAACAAACACAAAGTTACGGAGATTCGCCGAGGCTCTAACCATTCGTACTCTCAAACCCGACCTATGCAAACAATGTGGATGGTTAGTCACATTCGCTTTGCTTTGGTGATTAACCCCTACCCCTGCCCGTTCTTGATATTAGTGTGTCGTGTTGTGCATTGTGATTAACCGTCTTGTCTTCATCTCACGGTAGTTATCTCATTGACTATAAAACGAAATCCCTTTGTCTGCGGTATGCGCACGTGTGTACAGATGCATCGAAATGACCATGGATTGTGGATTGGGCAAAACCATGTTTCTGATTTCCTAGTGTGCCTTGGATAAGCTAAACTGTTGCTGGTGCGGATCCCAAGGATAGTAACTACTAACCCGGAATGTGAAGAACTATCGTGAGCAATGGTTCTTGTATTGTGTGATTAGAAGAGGACTCTAAATATAACACACAAAGCGTCAACTGAAAGACCAGGAGGCACTGGACAGGTGTTTCGACCTGGTTGGGTCTCATCCGAACAGTGAACGAATCCATCGACCCAACTGGGGATCGAACCCGGGACCTCATGGGCAGAACGCAGACCGTTTTTCATTTTCCATTTACACCAAATAGTACAACCCATCTGATCAGCTGCCCGGTGGCCGAGTGAGTAGCAGGCTTGCATTCTGCCTGTGAAGTCCCGGGTTCGAACCCCAGTTGAGTCGATGGATTTGCATTGCTGAAGAGACCCAATCAGGTCAAAACAGCTGTCCAGTGCCTCCTGGTCTTTCACATCGCGCTTCATTCTCTATTTATACGGTGAATTCCCATCTGAAATGGAATCAAATGCTTGACTCTAAATATATCATTACACTGATGTGGAGCGTCTTTTTGGCGAGAAAACCGGGAAGCTATATGTGGCGTTCAATAATATTAGTCCAGAAGAATTTGGGATGCACTAGTAGATTTTAGTAACGCTTCCTACTGTCCGTGGGTCTTTTCCCAATTGAAGCAACATCCATTTGTTTTACCGGGTGTATCAACCACGCGCGCGATCGCGACAGCGGTCCCTGTGGGTGGTTCACTCCTCTATCAAAGAAAAATTTCTCTCTCGTGGATCGAACTGAAAAATCGTCTTATTACTTTCATTACCTGTATTCGCGAACATTGCCGTGGCTTTTGTTTCGATTACTCGTGAACCTATTTTATGAGACCAAAGAAAATTGTGACGGGAATATCTTTATTCATGCACAATCCACAGAAATCAACCTCAGATTAGGGAAGAAGTAATTTTTCTTTAATTTAGAATATTTGATCATAAACAATTGTGAGTGTATAGCATTTATTTTTCGCCAACAGATGCATTCAACCGTCCACGGTTGCTGTCAATTGGCCAGTTGTGCAGCGCTTTAGTGACAAATGGTTTGTGTATGTTACGCACATGTCGTTGCATGTTAGATGAGATGCTGAATGAGCGTTGACAATGTGGGCAATGGTAAGGTTGTTCCCCCGTATGCGTACGTATATGCCGGTTCAAATTGGCCGCTCGAGGAAATTTCTTATCGCACAACAGACAGACATAGTGATGCTCGGATCGTTTCGTCCCGATGATTGAGGACGTGTAGGGCAGAATCAGATTCTCTTTGACATGTCTCTGTGCGTAGTTGACTGGCGATGAAAATGTTGTTGAATGCAACATATGTTCCTTTGGCTTTGCTGAATACATACATCCAGCGTGGCTATTCGGGCGTCGCATATAGGGTGGCTCCAAATGTTTGGGGTTCGAGTCCTTTAAGAAGGCTGTGTTCACATGTGTTGTGCGGGAGATGTCACAACTTGTCTCGCATTTTTCGCTCGCAGACTGGGGCTGTGTGTTCAAACGATCTATCTGTGACGAGCCGGTTACGGAACTATCTTCANATCTTCACTCGAACGAGCGAGGTAGGTCAGTGCGACATACAAATGCTCTTTCAGAACTGCTGATTCCGTGAACTCACGATACTGAGTAGCTATTGTTTGTGACTCGAATGAGGAATTCGAGAAAGAGCTTGTTGTGGAGCATGAATGGTTGTTGGTTAGATTCATTGATCCGACTGGTGAAT